CTTCTTATGGACAGGGGCCAGCCATGCTTCCTTGAAAGCCCTAGGAACCTTGCCTTCAGCCAAAGAGCGTTGGTACATCAGGCTCAGAGGCAGCGAGACTCCAAGTGCAGAGCGACTGAGGAACAGAGCGGGTAGGCGTTCTGGGTTCATGCTTCTCTTCGGTTTCGTTGCGGTCAGGCATTTGTGCACAGCCTCTTCCGACAAATCAACGTCCTCGAGCATCCGAACCCCCTTGGGGCATAGGACCGAGTTCGGGACAGGCAGTCGAGTACCTCCATGCAGATACGTTTCCTCGAAGATGTCACACAGTAGGTCAGCTTTGGATTTGTCGTCCGTGACCCTTTCTCCGCTGGCGTCAATCAGAACTGCGAGATCGTCTTTGGTTTTCATCCTAGAGGACATGTACCTGAAGAATCTCGGAGCACTCTCTGATTCCACAATCTTCGTCTCTAGCAGATATCTTTGTCGCGTGAGGCAGCGCTCCAGCCTCTTGCGCAGTCGTTTCGTCCCGGTGACATCTGAAGCAGGGCATCCATTCAGTGCGCTCTCCAGGCGTTGGATGCACTGAGCAATCGGACGGTCATTCCGCATGTTCTTGCGAGGAACATGAATGTCGACAAGGAAGCGAAGGTATTCTGTCAGTATGCTGTACATGTCGTCAGCCGTCTCAGAATTCTGAAACATCTGTTGCCAGTTGGTGGCCAACAGCGACGCATTTATCGCCTCGTAGTCAGCGCGCTCGAAATCATGCTCGTTGCGCACAGGGCAGCCCTTGACAACACCATCAAAGGAAAACATGATGCCCAAATGATCTGACTCAACTGGGTTAGGCACAACAACAACGTCGTCACAGTCCAACATTCCGTGTGTACACAGAACGAGATCAATCAGAGCACCGCTGGCCGGTCGGGTTATCTCCGTCACCAGCTGCTTCAGGCCGTTCGAGACACAGAATTCGAGAAGTATCCTTTCCTTAGGAAGACCACCCGCCAAGCGTCCTCCTTCAGACCAGTCGATATGGGGGCAATTAAAGTCACCCATGATTATCACAGAGCTCGAGGTACAGAGCAGTCGTTCCATCTCCTCCGTGAGTAGATTCATCTTTGCAATATCATCATGGTAACCCTCGGTACCAGGGGCGTACGAGAGAATCAAGCGTGTCGGATCATCATTTTGGTGAATTTCGATGCAGAGAACCTCTAGAGTGTCTTCCTCAATCTCACACATCGTACATGGTATGGGTCTCCTCACAAGGATGAGGACGCCACCACCCCTTGACTTTCTGTCTTTCCTGAAGACCGCGAAGAAGCCATTACAAGAGAGCTCAGCGTCCGCAATATGATCAGACAGCCATGTTTCCACCACACAGACAATATCAATTTTCTTCAGTTTCGCCATCGTGTGCAAACAGTCAATAGCGCTCGGTTTAGCCATGGAGCGAGCATTTATGTAGAGGCAGCGCAGTGGTGGTGGGGAGTTAGCTCCGGCGACCACAGCAGGGGCGCAGCCTCTCGAGTCCGGCAGTCAGTGGGTGTGAGATAGAGCCTCGCCGTCGCAGTGCTCGACAGAGTCCCTCGGGTAGCCACTGAACTCACGGAAGACCACATTTTCTTCCCATACCTCGGGCGTGCAGATCTTTCCGAAGTCTTCACAGTCAACAGTCACACAGAATGAGGAGCAGTGACCAGTGCGCGAACGCAACTTGTCCACCCTCCGTAGGCCAATGCCCATCGCCGAGACGTGTTTGAACATATCCTCGGTCGTGACGTTACTTCTTATCCCAGAGACGAACATTCTCTTCGTTCGCGGCCGGGGACATGCCGCCAGTTTCAAGACCCCTTCAGCGACAGCCGCTTTGCCCGAGAGGAGCGGGGTTTTCCTCCCCCACGCAGACTGTGCCGGCTGTTTCGGGCCAGCTTTGTTTACATCCCTGCCTCCACGCTTGTCGCTAGGTGGCGCGGCGTCGGCATCGTCCAGCCCAACCTCAGCAGAAACTTTTTGTTGCTGAGCGTCATATGACGGCGAATTTCCATCAAGGGATAGGGTGACCGGTGCAGGATTTCGGGAGCGTTTTCCACGATCACGACGACGGCGTCCCCTCCCCTTAGATGCAGCTGCGTCAGTAGTCTTATTCGTCGGAACATGCAACTCATGCTGTCCACAGAGCGATACGACCGGCATTGTGGGGAGCTGTGGGTCCGAAATCTTCTTCGAGCTCTCCCGGAGCCTGGACTCAAGCATGAGGACTCTCTGCTCCAGCATCGAGTTGACCTTGAGATAGTCGAAACTCTCTGCGATCATTTTGGAGATATTTAGCTCAAACTGAGTCAGGTTGACCATCAGATCACCCAGCCTATGGAAGATGTGCTTGTTTTCAAACTTCTTCGCAGGGGAGCATGAAGGGCAGGTCAGGATGGAAGTTCCATCCTCCTTGGGAACACACTCCTCGTGGCACAAGTTGCTGCACACACCACCACACAGGAGAAGTGTTTGACCCGCTTCCAGTGGGAGCTCACACAAAAAGCATGTTAACGGCGTCATGGCTAAACGACGGAGATTGTTATGCAGCTATTTAGGTGTGAAATTGTCTCAGGAATCCAACGCACTAAGTTCCGAGGTGATCCGAGCAATATTTCCGGGAGCTAGACCGGTTCTCATGGGGTCCATAGAGAAAAATCGCCTCTTGTCACGCATCGGCCGAAGAATGTTCAATTTTTAATTTTTAAATTAATTTTCAGAAGTTGCTATGCAGCTATTTAGGTGTGAAATTGTCTCAGGAATCCAACGCACTAAGTTCCGAGGTGATCCGAGCAATATTTCCGGAGCTAGACCGGTTCTCATGGGGTCCATAGAGAAAAATCCCCTCTTGTCACGCATCGGCCGAAGAATGTTCAATTTTTAATTTTTAAATTAATTTTTAGAAGTTGCTATGCAGCTATTTAGGTGTGGAATTGTCTCAGGAATCCAACGCACTAAGTCCCGAGGCGATCCGAGCAATATTCCCGGAGCTAGACCGGTTCTCATGGGGTCCATAGAAAAAAATCGCCTCTTGTCACGCATCGGCCGAAGAATGTTCAATTTAATTTTAAATTAATTTTTAGAAGTTGTTGTTGAAAATAGGTAATCACCAGCCTCACAGTAAGTAGGTATCTGAATAGACTGAGAGGTACCTCAAGGGGGCACTACACGGTGCCTCATTTACTCTCCCTCCTTTTACATCGGTTCAGGTATAAATACAGGTAACCATTGGCTTAATAAACACTGACAAGATCCACCGTTCTCGGACGGCGTCTCTGTTAAACTCGGCTCGTCTTCTTAGTCACTCGTGAGCCTCGTTGAGGTTAGCAGACTGTCCAGGCATCGAAATTGTTCACGTTATCAGCACGAGGTGCTCTGAAGTGCTCGTGTATATTCAGCCCACACTTGCACTCAATCCTCTGGTGAGAAAAACTTTGAAAATTTCCCCCCTTCTTTCAATTGACGAAATTCTGACTTAAATATGCCTGA